CAATTACATACATTGCTATGGGTTTGACCTCTAAGATAGAAAAGAAGTAGCTTTGTAAACTGTGGCCTAAACCATATACTTATATCGAAACCATCGAATAGAAGTTTTTGTCCACTATGCGAAAAAGTCTGGATCAGCATAATTATCCTGTTGTCTTTTCGATATCAAGAAATCTGCCATAATTCTATTATCATTACTTCAAGACAATACTATATCTCCTTATTGCAACGTTGTTATGAAAATTTAGGATATCCTGCACTATCTTAATCCAAAAAACGTGACATTTGTACGAACCTAGCGTACTGTAGTCAGTCGAGCATATGCGACCTTTTACTTCTAGCTGGTTTATCAGCATACTTGTAGATAGTGGACGATGCCTGACGAGGTCAAAACAGTTCATCTTTGTGTCTAAATGAATACGTCACTAAAATGTCATCTAAATAAAATAATGATTCCAGACGTCATACAGATTGTTGAATAGGACTGCTGGCACCATCGAACACTTAAGCGATTGATAATCCTGTGAGGAATCTTAAAATCATGAGAAATCAACAGTCGTAAAAGAAAAATCATATAATAAATTTTCTGCATGAAAAGTTATCTGTAGGATGTCTTCAGAATTGTTCCAAATACGGCACATACATACGTATTTACAGAGCCATAAAAACAGAAATTTGTCACTTTGCTGAAAATATTTTCAAAGGTTAAAATGTAAACATATGCTTTATTGCGTAGAGTGGCGAGTTCGGAAAACTAACTTATACGGTTTCTAAATATTTTTCTTGACAGATCGTATGACATCTATACCTCAAAAGACAAAGAACCGCTCGAAGTAATGAAAATGTTGCTGCAGTTCAGGCAAGTGTTGCTGAAGACCCCAATTTGATCCAACAAGACGACCGGACGTGCCCCGCAGGACGTGCAACAACTGAATTATTGCAAGAAAAGTTTGGAGACCCGACTATTTCAAGAAATCATATTAGGCGGCCTCCAAGAAGTTGTAATTTAACAAGATTGCATTACTTCTTTTGAGGTTATTTGAAGTCATTGGTCTTTAGCAACAAACCAGACGCACTTCAAGCTTTATAAGTCAATACTGGACGTGCTATTCATGACATACGACTTGATTTAGTGGATAAAGTTCTTGAAAATTTAGTTCATCGCAGTCGTTCCTGCAACAGACGTTGTGGCGACTAATTGAAGCATGCTAGAATCAAAACTGAGTGGTATCAGTTTTACTCTTCACTAAATAAATTGAAAAGAACTTCCTTAATAATAACTATTTTTTGAAAAGAAATCATATCACTTTTATTGTAAGTCACCACGGACAAATGCCATATCAAAAATGTATCATCTTGATATAGCAGCTACCAGTAAATGATAACCAGACTACTGCTAATTAAATACAAATAGCATTGAAAAGAAACTTAAGCATATATTTGCATAATTTAAACGAAATAACTTTCGATAGTAATCATTTATAAGCATATATGTATATTATTAAAAAGTTACTGCCCACTCATTGCCATAAATTAGTAAAAGCACGCGAATATCGATATAAAATAAACATATGCTAATTAAACTCTATCCCACATTATTGTTTATACGATTTGCTTCTTGTCACATTAAATGGACATCGGGGTCGTAAAATAAATCAATATAAATCAAATCTACTTTTGAATGATATTTATGCAAAGCATTTATGCCATCTTTTTCACATAAAGCAATTATGTGTGCAACATAAAAATCACACTATGGCTTAAAAAATATTCAAAATCACATACAAGTCTACCTACACATACACAAAATCATACATATATACATACATTCATAGCGAGTTACGCGCTTAATTCAAAGCTTCGTATGATTAAGGTGTTATGCGCGTGCCAAAAGCTTTAAATGCCGCTGAGTCAGTCAATCTTGCTTAATCTGGTGTTGTTGTTGGATTATTTTAAATTTAATATAATCATAATTTTACTTGATTTGTTTTTGTTTGCTTTGAATTGTGTTTTTCCTTGATTGGAGTTGATGTTTTCGAAGGCAAAGAAAATTTGCGCTTGATTTATAATTAAGCTAATTAAGCATGTGTATAGCTTTTGCACACCACTGTAGCTGAAGTAGTTTTTAGGTCAGTGACGCTATGCTCTTATTTTCGTTCAGTATTATTTTTTTATTTGTTATGGTTTAATATATGGTAGCTATACTAAGCTCATCATAAGTTTGGTTTCGTGCCTCTCTACTTGATAGTCTCTAACAAAAATTAATTCCCAATTAAGGCTATATTAATTATGAAGAAGATAAACTAATATGCAATTATAATAATAATTATTATTTTAATTTATAAGAAAAATTAAACAACATTTTGAATTATTGATATGGATAAACGTTGGCGACTTTAATGATTAATAAGATTTATTTCAAAATTAATTAAAAAGCAATGATAACTTAAATGAGACTTAATAAACAATAACAGGACAACATTACTGGATAAAACAAACAATTATAAATATGTATCTTATTTTGTCTTATAATTCTACAATTGTCATATCGAAGGTCTCTAAGTTAGCAATTAAGACAATTAATTTTACTCAATTTACCAAACAATGAAACAATTAGCTAATTGTTATAGTTAGTGTATAATTGAAAGTAAATTCGATGTTATATACTTTGTGAAGTATTTTCAAAAAGGATTTGTAAAATTTGTTAAATAAGGAAAAATATTTCTTTTGAAAACTGAAAAAAAAACCAAATTCCTTTATATATGATTCGGAATGTAATTGAACACTAAAAATTTAGTTCTTCGAAAACAATATGCGTACATTCCCGATGTCTTCTTACAAAACATTTATGCATGTAGAGAGCTGGCGTTTTTCAGTCGTTTCGTGAACGATATTTTTTGTAAGATTGAAATGAACTACATTGTGAAAAGTACCCTTACTGGTAACTGGAAATGAAACCAAAATATTTAATTATTCATCAATATTTACTTTATCACATCACCTTCAAAGTAGTCCCCACCAGACGTAATACACTAATGCCAACTATGTTTCCAGCCCTCGAAAAACTTTTCATAAGCCTTTTTTTGGGGTGGCCTTCAGCACTTTCAGCGAATTTTGTGTTATTTTTTCGATCGATTGAAAACGGGTTCCACAGTGCGGCAATTTCAGTTTGGGGAACAAGAAAAAGTCGCGCGGTTGATCGATGGTATTAATTGCGGTTTTGACGTAAAATTTCTTTATAATCGTGGCTCGATGCAATGGTGCATTAATATCGTGTAAAATCCATGCATTGCTGTTCCACAAATAGGGCCGTTTTCGACGCGACGTGGAGAACATTTTTGGACCATCCGTCCCTTCGAAACAAATTCGTGATGCACCAAATCATGAATATCGGAAAAGACAATGGCGTTTTGGAGACCTTACGCAACAGCTAAGTATACTATAACGCTGAAGAACGGGAAAGTTCTCTTATCAACAGAAAACACACTGTCATGTCAATAAAATATTGTCTTCTTTTTTGAATGGTAATTGTTACCAATGTGTAGTGGCAGTGACAGAGAGAGAGAGAAAGAGAGGGAGAGAGAGAGAGAGAGGGAAAAACTCCTTTCAAGGCCGGTTTTATAAAGGAACCGGTGCTCTGCAACAAATTTTTAAATTTTTCCAACAATTTCCCATAAATGTTGTCATTATGAATTAGCATCACTTCGCAATAATAATTGTATGTAATGTTATAATTTCACATTATGGTCCTGTACACGCCGTCCGTCCTGTTAATTAAAAAATAATATAACTTGAGATTAACATCAATTCTTATTCTAGAAATATTTCTCGATTATTATCAAGTTATCATATACTATGTACTCGAGCACATGTCTAATTAACAAAAAATCTAAATGTAGTAAAATAAAACTTCTTTTTTTTTAATAAATGAAATATAATATCAACTCGATGAAAAAGGGAGCCCGTCTATTACACCCTCTCTAAGCCCTCTAAGGCCTTATATAGTGGCAAGGTGACAAATGTGCAGTCCAATATGTTCTACTTCAGCGTCTATCTTATAGATTTCTGTAAAATCAAGTATAATCAAAGCCCATATTTGGCATACTGACTCCTAAAAGATTCACAGATTCAAAGACAAATATTTATATATTATTAATCCGGTGACAAATAAATGATGTAGGTTATCATAATATCTAAATTTTTAAAGTGCTTCATCGTAATTGTCACCAACAAACTTTCCAAGGCAATTTGGATCGTCAGCTTTTGAGTACCATCAGCCCTAAATCGGCATTTAATCATGATTTCCATATACATAAGTGTTTTAACTCAACTGAAATGTTCGCAGATTAGTAAAAACCATGAAAGAAAACAAAAACAATTAATCACCACCACACCGAGGTGGATGCAATTATACTAATAACAAACGAATATGATAATTGCCTGCGGCGAGGTGTTGATTTGTCCATTTCTAGCGACGGCTGAGTCATTGCGTGCTCCACATTCCTGTATTTTCAGACAAATCTTATTAGCAAAAAGTTCATTAATTTTTCGTTTGTGTTTCATCTTCTTTGCTTGATTTTGTTGTTGTGCTCATTTTTGTTGATAGATTAACTATTAATGGCTGAAGGCAACGGCACAGTCTTCGCGCACAGTTCAGATACCATAATAATGACATAATAATAGGCCTGACCTAACTCAACCAGACGAAATTTGCAAATATGAAGTGGCTAGATGTGCAACAACAACWATTGTGCGTTTTTCAAGGTCAGTAGCACAAGATTCAAGTCCAATTTGTAGACACCTCTCTAAGATTATTATTATTATTTTTTGTTTTTTTGTTGAATTTCTGGCTTTTATGCTTGTTTTTGATTCGCTTTCGGTGCATCTCTATTTCTTTCATCCGCTGCAAAGATTTCAATGTCATTGCTAATTTGTTTCGTTTTCATATTTTTGCTTGTATAAAAGCTGAACGAATTCCATCTGAATACATCAAATTCAATTCGATATTCATAGTAAACAGTTAAACAGGGAATAAAAAAATGGTTTGTGGCATAAATTTCTCTGAAGTGTGTTAAAATAAAAAAAAAATACAAAAAAATATATTTCGGTTTAGCCAGCTTAGAAAATAAAAAAACTTATAAAAGTTAATCAAATAATTTTT